TTTCGCGATCAGGTAATTTCATATATGTTTATGTTTACCTTTTACCGGGTTTAAGATTGAGAAAATTGTCATGTATTTCGTGAAATTTTTCTAATTTATGAGAAAAAAGCAGTGACATGGATATAGTGAAGAGTGTGCGCAATGCCATTTTTTGCAATTCTGGGATGTTTTTTTAAGTAAAAATAAGTCGACGAGTACAGGTTTAGTGATATTTTAATTAAATTCTAGTTATTTTGTGAATTTTATGTTTGTAGGAATTTGGTATACGTTTAGTTGAAATAAATGTGCAAGGAAATAATTTAAATATTTGATACTAAGTATTTGTAATGCTTGCGGTATGATTCGTTGGGTGACGTGATAATGTAATAGATGATTTAGAGGTAAAAGTTTTTGGATATTTTATTTATTTATATGTGGAAATGTTCATATTTGGAAAGGGTAATACTTTTCGCGGTCAGGTAATTTCATATATGTTCTTTTTACCGGGTTTAAAGATAGAGAAAATTGTCATGTATTTTCGTGAAATTTTTCTAATTATCATAAAAAAGCAGTGTACATGGATATAGTGAAGAGTGTGCGCAATGCCATTTTTTTTTTGCAATTCGGGATGTTTTTTTAAGTAAAATAAGTCGGCGTGGTACATGGTTTATGTGTATGTGTTATTTTGAAGAAAACGCGTAGGAGTATATGGTATTGTGCACTTTTTCCCAATTTTGCAGTGAATATTTGTCATGATTAAGCAGTTTGTTGATAAAATTTCTAGCATAAGTGGTAATTCGGCTAGCAGATTGTTGCAAAAAAGTGCTGAGTTAAAAAAAAAAAAAAAGAATACACGATTTTACTTTGTGAAAGACAAAATGGCGTCCAAAACAAAACTAGCAGATTGTTGTAGCACGGTTGGTCGCCTTCGCCAAAAATCGCCAAGTTACCATAATGTAAAGATCAACCCATATTTATTTGGAGGGGTATGTTGTTTCTCTTTTGTTGGCATAGCAGTGAGGAAGATAAAAAGATTAAAATGAGCTTAAATTCAGTTAACATAGCAAATTCGCTCTTCCTTAACTTTCTGATTTAAAAAAGCTTATTATTTCCTTCCATCTATTATTATTGGTCTTATCAAAATTACAGTTTTAATAAATGAAAATTTTCCCATTTTACTTTTTCTCGAAACTGCACTTCTATCAATCAGCCAATGGACATCAAAATTTTGCCTGTAGCAAAATGCAGATAAAAAGCCGATTTTTAAAAACCGATGTCAAAGTAATGTTATGTTCATCATTGTTGTTAATAATCTCCTGCATGCAATGCATTACCATCTGCAAAGTTGGGGCATGTTGAAACTTGCAATTCTAATATTTTTTTTTCTTTCCTTTATTGTGTTGTCATTGGTCCTTTACTATGCTCTTTTTTGCAAGTGTTTTAAGCTGGCATAACAATAGATAACAAATATCTCTACATTGAAGCTTTCCCATTTTACTGAGATTTTCTGAATATTTCACATTCCTTTCCTCCGAATTTCTCAGGAAATAGTACTCAAATTCAATTTCTTGATAAATGTGATATTGGGAACTTTACTTTTGTTTGAGTACGTATTACTGCAAAGAACCATTAAATATTGCTTTACTGGCTTTATTACCTTATCAAAAGCATAAATCGAACATGCATCTTATTGATTTACTATTTCAAATTAACCTTCATTTATGCTAGTAATAACTTATCAATGTTTATATACTTTTAAATAAAAGCAGCCTACTGTTAGGTTTTTATTAGAAATTGGGATTTAATCGAAAATGTCATATTTGTAAAAAGTACTCAATATTAAACCTAAAATTAATTTTTTAATTCAAACTTTTGAGAAATATGAATGTTCAACATGCAAAAAAATTCGTTAACATATTTTCTTATATTAAATTAAGTAATTTATTTCAGGGGAAAATATTTTAAAACTTGAAACTATACCATAAAGCATTACCATTGTCATATTGCACAGACGCGTGGAAATAGTGTCGGTATGTATATTCATTTACAAATACCAGGTCAGTTTGAAAATCTACTTGAATTTGGGTTGCAGTTATATGCAAATTACAGACTTGTACTTTGATTTGTTTTGGTTAATACACAGGGTAGTCATTAAAATACTTCCCCAATATAATGAAGCCCTATTGACCTATCTGCTCAACCAATCGAAACAAAAATTCAGATGTTGTTATTTGAAGGTATGCACTCGAGATTGTGATGATTTAAAACGATTGAACTCTCATGGTTATAGTTACAGTGAAGAAATTAAAAAATTTTCGAATGGTGACACCCTTATTTTTTTCTTTGTGCAAACTCATCAGCGCATTGAAAAAAAAAATAGATGGTTTTGGAACAGCATGCGTACGATGAAAATTGCTGACATAAGATATCTGTGAAGAAGAGATCATTCTCAATCCCCATCATAAATGATGAAGATAGCAGGTGGCCACAGGAAATATTATGGATGGATAAGGCCCATTTCTTCTGAACTTGAAAATACAAACTCCAAGAACTGCATTCACTGGGCAGATGAGAAGCTGAAAATTCTCACAATGTGGCAGCAACATATTTACATGAAACTAAAGTGAGTATGTGCTGCGGTACTGCAAGCACATTCATCCTCAGTTTAAACTTCTCCAAAGAAGTCACTTAAAGATATATGGAAACGTGCTCCATCACAAATGGTTGGTACAAAACAGCGTTGCAGAATTATATAATTCCAGAACGGCAGCAGCAAAATGTTCTTAATCACACTGTATGGGTGCAATATGGTGCTCTTCCACACATGTTCGCCAAATGCTGCTAGTACTTTGGAGTCATCTCTGGTAACTTTGCAGTTTCATGACCAATGTGATCTCCTGACCTCACTCTGATGGATTTCTGGTTTTAGGGTTATCTGAAAGCTAAGGTGTACACATGAAATCCCCAAGATTTGCCATAAAACGTGAAGTTATACAGGTACTTACATCTTAACATAACCACTTTAGTAGAAGTCCCCAAACTCTGGCAACCATTCTTCCAACAACCATGCTCATAAAAATACTCCAGTCAAGCAATGCCGCCATTCTAGTATACACTCTTTTTTGGGGTATTCTAAGTTCCAATGACTTTTATATAAACAAATTGTGATATTTTTCACCTTAAACTTAGTTTGAATATGCAAGCTTGTGGAACTTGCCAGGGGTAGTCTATATTTTGGGGTACCCATTGGATTAATGCCTAGTTGTTATTCCATCTATCACCAAGTTGTTGTTTCATTTATGGTGACCTAAGTATTTTACGATGTATGTTTTGGAAACCCTATCATGACAGGAATGGTTGTATGGCATGATCATGCTGATTTTGATTGTTAAATATTTCTCAAGGCTTATTTCTGCATTGGATGTCGGTTAGGAAGCAAGTTGCTTATTTTGTGCTTTATACTGTTGACACTATCCAAGGTATGTGTGTGTGTGTGGGGGGGGTAATAAAAAGCAATTTTTGAAAGAAATACCACCAACAATCTGGCATTATGGAGGATAATTTTGATTCTTACTTTTGTGAATTTATTTAGCAACGGCAGTATACAGATTCTAGTTCAGATAATTTTGGACAGTTTATGCTGCCACATACTGAAGACACAGAAATTTCTAAATAAGGTAAGTCGATATTTACTTTTTGTATTGTGCTGATTTAGATAACACGTATTTCTATTTTTATGTTACTTCCTTGTTTTATTTTGATTTAAAATGCAGTTTGTTGAGTTTAATAATTATGTTTTATTGTGTTATGTTTTGGACGCCATTTTACTTGGGAGGGCATAACAGGAATGGCACCAAAAAAATACAAATTCTCACCAAAGGGGGAACATGAAATATATTTTTACCTTTGCCAGCAATGGTAAAATTTTTGCAAGAATACAGAATTTAAGTGAAAATTTTCTAGAGACAATACCACGTAAATGCAATTCTCTGATTTTTTTTAAAGCGAAAACAGATTGCTGTATATTTCAGGAGAAGAATTAGTATTGCCGTATAATCCTTATTCAATAATTAAAATTAGTATTTCAAATTGCTAAAGTATGTTTTCTTTTCATCTGTTGGTAATGTTTACCAACTTACAAAAAATATCAATAATTTGTGAATCTTTCTTTAAAAAAGGCACAAAAACCACCAACTTGCACCTAATAAGTAACTTCTACCTGAAAAGAAAGAAAGAAAAAAAAAAAAAAAAAAACTGCCGAATTGTGTTACGGCGTTAGCATTAATAAGCAAGTACCATTATACAGATTCCTCCTGCAATGTTATGTTGGCCAATGTTGTTAGTGATCTCTGGCATGCAATGTGTTATGATCCGTGAAGATGCGCACATTGAAGACTTGCAGTTCCAATAAAAGTTTTTTCCCTTTCCTCTCTTATGTTATCACTGGTCCTTTACAATTCCCTTCTTTGCAAATATTTCACACTGGCAATTTTTATCAGAGATGTATTGCTCCAAAGCCACTTGTGATTTTTCTAATGTGCTGATCAATTTGCACAGGAAAGTGGGTATTGCCATATGAAAATTTTGAATTTTTTTCACTGCAAACTTAACTGTAAAGGCTCTATAGTTTTAAATCATCACAATCTCGAGCACATACTTCAAATCAATATTTGAAATTTCATTTCAATGGATTAAGCAGATAGGCTGCTAGTGGTTTATAGATCAGGAAAGTTTATTTATGACACTCTATACATGCTATATTATTTTTCAGAATCCAAGTTTTGATTCGCAATAAATATTTTATTATGCTATTCATTAAACTGAAATCAAGATTGAAAATCAGGATACAAACACGTTTGGCTTAATAAAGTTTTTCTTAATATGAAAGAGCTCTTAATTTTGCTAGAAAGTTAAGTTTGAAAGTGTATATTCTTAGAGTAATATAAAATAAACACTTCAAATTAATTTCACTAACTTTTAATGATGAAGTTTTTTATTATTATAACAATATAAGCATGGTAATATTTCTATTATTAGAACGGAAGCATGGAAAACATTATGAAGCACTGAAAAACTAATCTAAGTCATTTAGCATGATAAAGTGATAAAATTAAATGCCTTCCATATAAGAAAGGAGTAGGGGTTGTTAAAACAGCAGAAGAATGAGTTTGTACAGTAGAAAGATTACAGTTATGGATGCCAGAAAAAAAGAGCAGTAGACAACATGGTGAAGCAGAAAATATTCAAAAAATTGATAAAAACTGACAATATGAATTGAATAAAATTCTAATCAATATTAAATGCTTTTTTTTAAAATACACCTGATAGGATAAAAAAATTATAATATCATCATGAAATTCTTGTTAAATGAGGAACTAACTAAAATCCAAACTAGTATACTCCAAATACCCTTGAACAAATACAAATAAATTCTTATAGTTTAATTTATAAGCATTACTATGTTGACTTGAATTCTGTTTTCACTTTTGAAATAAACTTAATATTAATTTCAAATTTGCATTTCTTTTTAGTGAAAATTGGAGTATCAAATCAACATCATACGAAACACTGAGTGAAATATGCAGTAATAGAAGCACTTCCAAAACTTCAGAGTTTGTAACACACATTACTCATTTTAAGACATCATTATTAAGATTTTTTTTCCCTTGTAGTAGTTCATTCGTTCTGTCTTATATATAACTTTTGTAATAAGTGTAATTAATTACATAATAAGGAAACTATTATTTGAAGAATTTGTATTAAATTACAGGTTTAAAGCTCTTTTGATAATGTTTATATTTCTAACGTATAGTCTGATACATAAAACGTATATGTGAAATTTCGAATAGATATAATACACAACAAATGAGGTATATTGTTCTTAACTATTAGAGCCAACTTACTTTATTAATTTTAGAACATCAGTTTCTTAATAACAAACAACAGTTTCTTGAAACCTTTCGATAATATAACATGCATTATAAATAATGCACAAAATATAACTAAAAACTATAAAGAGATCACATGAATGAGAAATTCCCGCGCTCCATGTACGAACTAAACTCTTGGTTGCTTAGCAACCTCAATAAAGAATCAACAAACTAAAGAATTTCTGAGCAGTTCTTTGCAATAAAACGTTTTCTTTATACAAATTAAAAAATTCTGATTGAAAAAAAAATCTACAGAAATGTGAATCATAATACAATTTCCAGACCACGGAGTATTCCAGACAAATTTATAAAAACACTGGAATTTTCTTCATTCGTCTACATAGTGTTGCCAATTAGTCAACCTTTATAAATACATAAAACTCTAGGTTTTTATCGTGCTTTTTATTTTTGAATACATATCGCTTAATGTAAAGAGTTCTTCATAATATCCCTTAATATATGTAGTATCCTTTAATTAAAATCAAAATTAGTCTATTATTTTACTTCGTTTAACTAATTTTTGAACTCTGCGCAGTCTTGGTTTGTGTCTAACGATTCAATGTTCAGTAAAATGCAAATTCTAACCTCCTTGGCAAGAAGGCATATTGACTCACATTTCTTTTAAAATACAACTGAGTATAAACACACAGTCCCATTATATTGCTCAAACTGCCCATCATATTTACTTTATCATCTTACAATCATTAAAATAAAGTTCAAGAGTTAATATTTATTTATAAAATGTATGGTCAAATGAAACTATTGAATATAGTACTTAAAATAAGTCAGTAAATTATTTCATTTCTTGAAAATACCATAATGAAATGCTGATTTCTTTGCTAATTTTTGGTAAACTTTTGATTTCATTAAGCTACTCATGCCTAATGCCATTATTATTATATATTTCGACAATCTTTGTCCGTTCTGTTGTGTAAAATATTTGTCCTTGCATTATCTGAAAATCGTATCATATTTAAGTTTCTTCAATATTCACAGTGAACAATTATTTAAGTAGCAAAGTAACATGAATACTCTCTCATCGCTCATGGTCTAGTCATTTTGCGTCATTTTCAGTAGCCAAATAAGAATGTTTACCTTTAGATTTGATCGGAATTTAAGGCCTCATTCAATTGAAACATTTAGTGATCGTTAAGGCCTCATTCAATTGAAACAGCGATGATCGCTCAAACAGCGATTGTTGTATCCAGCATTAGCGATCACTTTTGAAAACGAGTGATTTTTGGTATTCATTTGAAACACTTCCCTACCAGTCGAACTCGTAGGGGTTGCCAGAGGTTACTTGATGCGCGATGCTGTTTGTCACGTGGTCGGAAGTTGCGTTTGTTTCGAAATAACCAATGAAAGAGCTACCAGATGTGCAGGTTGACTCCTCGTAACCATTCTTTAGGGTTGCAGTTCACGTTTGGTGTGCGATCTCTGGCTTTTCAGCGCTATTGTTTTAAAGTTTTATCTATGAAAATTCTTCAAAGGTATTATTTTATTTTAATTCTTTTATGAAAACAGCTAACCTAAAAGACTTTCATTCACATAAATCATATACAGGTGAAAAATATAGGTCAAGTAATTTTTGCATACTGAAAAAAAAAAAGTGATTCAAAAGACCTTTTAAAGCAAAAGAAAAGAAAAATGTACCTAGTTCTATTAACAACTCAAAAAATACAATGTAATATATTCTAAAAGGAAAATTATATAATACACAATGATGTAGATTACATATATTTAATAAATACATAAAACTCTATAATGACTCTAATGTTCATAACTATATAATAAACGCCAACACATATCACATCATGGTACATAACACTGCTATGAAAGGAAGAATTTTTAATTAGAAACATACCTTTTATATTTATTTGATAACATAGACGAATAAAATACAAAGATGACAAGAAGTTATGAAAACACGTTATGCAACTTAAGAAACAGTAAGAAGCCTTTTAAGTTATTGCAATATCATAAGGCACTGATTAGGAAGTAAATATCATTTTTTCATTCTTTTACATCAGTAATACTTTTTTCATTAAAAAACTTTAGCAGTGAAAGCCAAAACAGATTTATCATTGGCGCCTCTGATGCAAGGTCACACAAAAATAAACTTGATTTAGCAAATTTCTAAAGCATTAAAATCAAAAATAGTAAATTACAGTAACATATATTATTAAATTATTTTAATTACACATAAAAAATTGTCTGAATTAAATTAAGAATCACTGACTAAGCTTGTACAGCATTTTAAAATATATACTTTATGTTGATACATTGGAAATAAATTGACAGCAATCCCAGTTAAAGGAAAGAGGTGGAAGTACAGTCTACATGGATGTATAAATACAGTCAAAATTATTCGTTAAATACCTAAATTGATGCATACCTTCTTCAAAATGAATATAAATACGATATATTAATGTTACTTTAAGGGAAACATTATATAATGCATAATTTCAATCATATTATCCAATGTTTACATTTTTTTTTTTTTACATTGGAGGCCGACTGACAGATTTGGCGACAATATAATAAGGTCAAAAAATAACATACGATTTTAAACCATGAATCCCGCATTAAAATTTAAATAAAAAGTGCACTTCGTAGTTATAATCACGCACAAAATTGAAATCAAATGTATAATATAATTATTTAAACTTTGTCCTTTCGCGATAATAACAATAAAGAAAATCACATCAGCATCTACTTATCGCCGTCGGTATCTGTGTATTGACTATACACATTCTGATATTCATTTTGTACATATAAAATCAGTTTGTCATTAATTAGCAATACTTAAATGATAATACACATTTCGCTGAAACATGAACACTTATTTTTTTAACAATTATGAAAACATACGAAGCTGAACTTACTTCAAAAGCGCACGGTCTTGCGATCGGAATCCTATTCCAATGGACAAGAATTAATTACCCATTTTCTTCGTGTGTTTCTTCATTTCTCGGGGAATAGAACATACTAAAGTTATTTCTGGAACGATATGAATAATTTGATGACAGTGCATCCACGCATATTTCTCTGAATTAGGTAGCCGCAATCCATCAACACAAATGTAAACAACACAACGCTAAATCAATGTTCCACTAGCAACAAGTGCACTTAATTTGGATACAACACAGATGATGTGTCGGCTGCCCTTGCTAGGATCCTTATACACCCTATACTTTGATATAAGTTGATGCTCACTCAGCAGATCTAAAGCATTTTCTTTAGCACACTTGATTTCTGTTCTCGTGAAAGCACAAACAACACAGCCGCCATATTGATTCGATCGTTTTTCGCCGAGGAATGATGGGTTCCAAGTGATCGCTATGAGAACGAGCGATCGCGAGCTCAGAGTGATCGTTGCGTTTCAATTGAATACCAAAACAGCAAAATCAATCGCAACTGATGACGTAATTTTAAGTACTAATTCAATTCTGTGAAGGATGAATTAATATTCGTTTACATTTCGGAAAGCGCGCACGCGGTAAAAACGTTGCTTAATATGAAAAAATTGTCTATTAAATTTTAGTTGTATGATACTGCCTGCTTGTAATTTTGTTGTTTAAATGTCTGAATTAATTGGCTGCACAATATCCAAAAGCTATTCATTTTTAACTGCTTGTATTTTTTTCTTTCTTTTTTGAATACTTGAATTCCTTTCTGAATTTAATTGTAAAAAAAAAAAAAAAAAAAAAGAAGGAGGGAATTCAATTGTGATTAAAATTGTTTTAATACAGATCTTTCATAAAATAAAAATTTCAGAGCCTTGATTTATTCATGAATTTAAAAATTTTCTGTACAATCTTATGTATTAGATTATGTCATATTGATTATGGCAAACCATTTTTAAGGTTCTAGAAAAGCAACAGCATTTTAAAGCTGTTGCTTTTTGGTGCTTTTCTAGAAACTTTTTTTTGGAACAAGTTGCCTCTTATTCATACTAAAGAGAAAGAAAATCTTCTGCAGTCAACCCATTCAGTCATTAAGAACTGAAAGCTGGACAGATGACAATTAGTGTAATCCTCTTGCTTTATCAAGAAATTTTCATTGCTCTTCATTAGAAAATTTTTTTGTTCGTAGTTAGTTGTCATTATTATGTTTCCGAATGCTGTGCTTTTATTATCTGATTTTTCATAATTTCTCAGTAATTTTACTTACTTGGGAAGGATGTTTTTGATAGGGAGAGATGTAATATATGTAGGATTTTTTTCTTTGAAATATTTGGGTTGACTGACTGGGTGTTGAGTTACCCTGTAATTTCTGTTGTATTCATTGTAATTGTTATTTTGGTACTGTTCTGTTATTGGGACCGGATTAAAAAATCTATGTGCATACAAATGTATATGTGTATAGATATATATATCTATACACATATACATGCATACATAAACACATCCATCCATACATTTCTGTATCCGGTCCTGATAACAAAACATTACCGTTATTTTTGTGGAAAGCATACAATTGATTATAATTTAATCAAATATTATAACATTTAATACCGTATGAAGCAATATAAAAATCTCCCTGAAATTTTATTGTAAAAAATTCTTTCCCAGATGGAGAAGTCCAATTCGGAGCCTGAATCTTGTAGATACTTTAGTCAGTTTGAAAAGGCTGGTTATTATAATACGGATGCTGTTCATCTGAATGCTGGTGCTCCTGGTACAGAGCTATTACGCATGCTTCCTCCTATTATTGATGCTGCTACAAATCATCGAATGGTAAATATATAACATATATATTTGAAGATAACCCTTTGAAGAAATAATTACTAACATCTTATTAACATGTTGGCTGCTGCGCGCATTTTCAGTGGTTTGCCCATGGCACCTATATGATTTTTTTTATTATGCAATGTATATTAAGTTGAAATATTATCTATGGAAGATAAGATGAGTTATATAAATGTGTTTAATGTATTTTTCATGATGGGGGAATCACCGGTGACCCCTGAGATGCTGTATATAATTTTTGCGATTTATAATTCTTCAGACCATTATAGTAACAATGGTATTATTTAAAAATTTATCAGTATCGATATTTACTCTAATTATGTATTTTTACTATTGGCCACATTGCCGGTCACCGTTGGCCCCCATGGAGCTGTAGCCAAGTCAAGTGCCGCCCACCAGTGACCCCCCACGGCAGTCAACGAGTTAAAAAAAAGTGTCCCCCCCTCGTTTCTTAAATGCTAAGATTGTGTACCATAGGTATTTTTGTACGTAACTTATATTGAAGTATGTTAATTGAGCTGTAATCAGATCAAAATTTTCTATGAAAAGATGCATAATTTATTTTAATTATTTAAATGTATGTAATTGTAAATATGTATTGCACATACCCACTTCTTTATGAAACTTGGTAGTACTCATCATGCATTTTCACCACCATATTGCTGCATTTTGGCTTCTTTCTTTTCCCATGCTTTTTGGTCAGTACTATAAATTTTCTTCCTTGAACACTTATACAGTTATATATGATTCACTTGAAGCAAGTTTGGGTTCACAAAACTCAGTAATGGAACTCCTGACATGATAAGTTAGTAAATCACACAGCAATAACAAAAGGATTATGTGATCCAATAAACCATATTATGAAGAATTTTCTCCTTTCTTACTGCATGCTTTCCTGGTATAATTAGAAAGCATGTCAGACTAACATCAGGATATATGGACTTTGAATCCCTGTGAGGGCATTGCTGAATTTTCATTCAAAATAAGTTGCTGCATGTGGCATCTGAACTAAAATGTGGTAGAAAATAATTCATCACCATCTGATTTGGCAAGTAGGTCTTGCTCCTCTCATTTGTCTTTAAATGGAGAAGAATGAAGGAATTTATTCATTCCTTACTACATGCCTTCAATCTATTGGAAGCATGCCCATGTAACAGTCAGAAGGTCTGGAACTTAAAATCCCAGCAAAAGCATAGTTGATTTTTCGAGTTTCCTATTTTGACCATAATGGCATTGACCATAATGTAGTGGCATCGATATAGTGGCACCGCTATATTTATGTTCCATGTCCACTTCAAGTTGCATTTTAATTTCATGGGGTGATTATTCAAACACTGTCTTTCTTTAAAGCATCACTTTCTGGGAAAGAAAAAAAAAGCATAGTCTCTTCTTCATCCCTTTTCAAATTCTAATTCATGAATTGGTACTTGAAAGAAGCCAACTCAAACTCATATTACCTCATACTAGGAAAATACGTCTTCCTATCTTCCAAAAAGTTCCAGGTGGTGCGACTTCAGTGCAAAAGTATTACAAAAATCATAATAAGACTAAATGCGGGCGTAAAATTAAAAACTTCGTTTAGCATCATAGAGAAGATTTCTCTTTTGGAATGCATGCATTTGTGTTCAATTAAATAAGAGTGTAAATGTTAGATTATGCTGCCAATGTTAACAGATTTTGGATATGACACTTATTGTCTAGATCAAGAAAATTATAAGGGTGATTTACTATAAAATATTCCAACCCCTAAATTATGAAATCCATTGGAGTAAAAAGATCAGCAATTATAATTAGATAAAAAGCATAGCTATGCAAGCTGTAAAGAATTACGAAGAAAGAAACCAGATCAAACTTGCAGTGCTTGATATTGAGGAAATATACCAGAGCAAAAATGAAAAGTTCCAAATCGTAAGACTTTAATCAAATAAATAACTGAGACATAATGTAGTAATCTTTTTTCAAAATATAATATTATTTTACTGGTAATTGCCATGAATAATATTTTTCAGTAGAAAAGAAATGCGTAAATTTTTGCTAAAAATATACTGAATGTTTTCATATAAAATTATTGTTATATGAAGAACGAATTTTGTCAGTTATTTGCTAAATGTTTTCGTACTTTTCCATTACTGGGGTGTCATTTACCAGATTGCCAAATGCAGTAGCATTCTGATATCATATCAGGAATAACTGTGCAATTCTGAATCTGTACAGTTATTTGATATTTTTAATGCAAAAACAAATTGCTATGTACAGGGAAAAGAACAACAGTTCTTTTGCTGTTACTTGGATATTTAAGTGTAAACAGCTTGCTGTGTATGACATTATATGCAAATTTACACATTCCTGCATAATAATTTAGTGTGTGTAGAAATATATATATATATATAATATTTTAAGTGCGTAGAAGCCACTGTTACTTTTAGCAGCTTTCAATATCTGTCACGGCTGATGATTAAGGCATACGGATGAAGATAACAAAACTTTATTTTGACAAATCACCAATCTTTATTTTTGCACATATCAAAAATCATCCTTTTGCAGACATAATATTTTTTAATCATAGTAAGTACACAATAATTTCCATGAACATGGATTTTGTTGCAATTAATGCCCAATGCTGTAATTATTTATGTTAATTAAATACAATTGAACACAAAATTGCACTTCCAGGAATACGTTAATGCCAGAAATAGGCAAATTCGATGGTTGATAATGTTGTGCACAATGGTCGTATGTTGGAATTCCAGTCTGTAGTGTTGTTTGATGTGGGTGTGGTTTCTGAGAGTCATCAGTATTCAGTAGTTATGGCTTAACGATATCATTTAAGTAAGGTAAAATGTGGCAAAAAATTGGTAGAATCGAGGAAGTCCAAACATAAATGGAGGTCACCCAAGATTTGAATATCCGTCAAAGTGTGATATCAAGAGTTTCGAGCTGCTTTTTAAGCACTGGATCAGTTAATAGATAGCCTGGTCAAGGGTGACCAAGAGCAACAACTGCATCAGAAGACTGTTTTCTGTCATTGTCAGCTAGCAGAAACCATGAAGCGACTACAAGAGAATAGGTTTAGACATTCAGGCTGCCACAGGAATTCAAATTAGCTGTTCTAATGTTGCACAGGGCTTAGCAAGGTTGGATTGTATGTGAGAAAGCATATGGTTTGTGTCCTATTCACTCCAGCTTTCCAGAGAGGCTCATTTAAACTGGTACCATTGTCATGTTTAAGAGAGCCAAGATGATTGAACCCAAGTAATTGTTTACTGTCGAATCCAGATATAGTCTAAACAGTGATTGTAGACATGTTTTGATCTGGAGATAAGAAGGAACACATGATTTGCCTCCATGAAATATCATGTTTCCGCAACCACGGTTTAATGGTTTGGGTAGGAATCATGCCAAAAGACCACACCGAGTAGAATATTTTCCAAGGAAGTTCTGTAATTGCTCAGAAATATGTGGACGAGGTATTGGATGCCAAGTTAGACCGTTTAGGCGTGCGGTTGACGTAAAGTTTTTGCTAATGGATGACATTGCTTCATTGAGTATATGTGGTTTTCCACAAGACTTATCAACACTTTGGTAAAGTCTATGAAATCAAGCTGTGAGGTATGCAAATCTGTCCAAGGTGACCATATACAATAATGAAGAAAAAAATTTTCATCAGGGTTACTTAATTTTTCCATCATTTTCCAGTTTCTAAAAATTTGGTTTTAATTTCAATATTTTGCGAATAATCATCTACCAAACATTGTAATTCATGTTAACTAATGCTTTTGTACAAATTTCTATTAAAAATTTTTCATTAAGTATCAGTTGTGTTTTAGTTCTATCATTATCCTTTAATTTTGATGATCAATGTATTTCCTTCATTTCCTGTTCAAATATAACAGTTTTCTGACTGTTTCTTCCACTGTATGAAGTATAATGAATTTTGTAAAGAAACTTTTATTACAATTGAAGGCTTGCAGCAAGAAGGGCCCAGCTCCACTTTGGTAGATTTTGTGTTCATGGATCGTTTTTGTTATAAAAAACCTGTTCTATGCATTGGAGTAAAAAGCCATTGAAGTTGCTGTAAAGAATCATTTTTACGGCATCAGAAGAATCATTTTAAAGGCTTTTTTACTTTTAATGACAAGCATTTAGAACATTAAAGAAATTAACATTAGAAGTTAAAAAATAAATATTTGGAATTTTTTAAAATTTTCCAATATTTGAAAAATGTAGAGCTGAGCCCTTCAATTTTTGATGAAAGTGTATTACATTTTTCGTTATGATTTCGTTTTTAATTAAATAAAAAATAGCATTGGAATTTTAAACCTGAGGAAAATTTATTTTCTGTATCACTTTCCAGGTTGAGAAAATTTGCAGCTTAATTTGTTATTATACATAGTGTACATTGTTTTGAATTATAGAAATATAAGCAGTATATAATGCAGTGATAACTTCCATCTGTTGATCACCTGTTTAGTAACATTTGTGTAAACTCTAAAATTAAAAATTTTTGTGCAACTATATATAGAGAGATGTTCCTCACCTTACAAACAAGTTATGTTCTGAACGAATTAGGTTGTAAAATAGTACTAGTTTGGCCACACATATCTCCCTATGATGTTTGTAAAATAAGAGCTATAAATACTCTCGAAAGAAAAATTTAAAGTGCTAAAATAAATAATACATTCGAAATTTTTAATACTGTACAGTAAAAGTCCTGCTGTCCTGCATTCAACTAACCAGAAAGCTCTATTTAGTTTTAGAATTTTATAAAAAAAATTCCTCCAAAAAAATTTAGGAAAGGAGAGATTTGTAGTGCCATTATAGAGCTCATGATACTACAGTACAAAGACTTTAATCCGGACTCGTCGGGACTTCAGCGATTCCGGATTACAGGTTTTTCCGGATTATAGATCATCAATTTAAATCTGGTAAGATGGCATGCAGAAATTATAAAATAAAAAATATGAAACCATAATTTATGAAATAAAGAG